ATAAACATGGGTAAATGCATGAAAAAAAAATCATCACATATCACCTCTGATAATGGTTTATTCATTTAAAAACACATTGTGCTTGTTTAGCACACTATTTCATGTAGTTTTTATCTGCTGGAGGGTCGAGTAGGGGAGCGTAGCGCGACAAAAATAGAAGAGCATCCTAAAATAGAAAGTTGTCGCGCCGCTCCCGTTGCCGGTGCAGCCGCTGTAATTGATTAACGGGGGCGAGCTGTTACGGGACTCGCGCTGCAGACGTGTTGCGCCGCTCCCGTTGCCGGTGGATCCCAGCCGTAACTTTCAGCTCCGCCATCACTGACGTGTTTTGTGAAAGACTCGTCGGAAATCAGTGTTAAGCTGCCAGTTCCAATACGCACACACTTTGAATTGTGCTCTACATAGTTATTATGGACTATATGTACCGAGTTGAATTCTGTGGAGACAGACCATTAATTTAGCAAAATAAAATGACAAAAATCGGCCAAAAAAATCGCCAAAAATGAAACCAACCGTGATGGATTCAGCCGATGGGCCCAAGCCTACTTCGGATACCATGACAGTAATAGCCAGTAATGTCAAAATATCATTTACAGACCGATTTAACAGGCGATCACTGCTGCCCGACCCACAGGTCCATTTGTGGGTCCTGCGGGTTACGGGTCGACCGGTGCATCACTATTCAGCTCAGTCTATAAGGCTGTACACAACAGTAAGGCTATAGACATTATATTCTATTCAGGCCAGCAGAACCAGCAGCGCATCGGCTCTACTGTGCACGGCACTGCTGATTAACCATTTTATTGCAGCACAGAGTGTCTGCCAGCAACCAATCACTTGCAGAGGCTTCCTACACACTACACTTGTTTCAATGGTTCCGATTTAATCAGAAGACAAATTAAATAGGATGACTAGCCAATGTGAAAATCAAAAGAAAGCATAGAATAACGTACTGAAGGAGACTGTTGTGCCATCACATTTTTTGTGGTTTGAGAGCAAAGATCCAGTCGGCGCTGTGCAAAACTCGAGTGTAACTTTTTGCCAAGTGTAACTGAGTGTTGCATAGTAATTGCAATTACTATTTTCTACTTGAAGAAAAAAAGCTTATTGAGCACTTTATTTTAATTTATTTATTTTTTAAATCAGTCATGTATTTTTTTACTTTAAACAGTTTGAAGCTCATAAGCATAATTTTGTTTACTTAAAGCACTTATTAGTGCAATGTTATGTTGCATATTGAAGAACTGCTTCTGACTTGAAGCACTGAGAAAAGTGTGCACAATTTAGTGTTTAAATAAATGCAAGGTTATGTCTATTTGTGTATTTTATTCATTAGCATTAAAAACACACTCATTTGGTGGATAATTAAGAGTAAATGGTCAAAAATAGAAGTCCAAAAAATTTAAAAACGGAATTTGGGGATTTATGGGGAATAAAACGGATTTCGGAAAAAATTAAAACGGAATTTGGAGAAAAATAAAACGGATTTCATAGGGCTCTAAACACTGTTTATATCAATATAGGGCCAACTTGCATTACATAAGGCCCGTTTCCACTGAAGAAGTTCCTGGTACTATTTGGGGGGCAGGAACTACTACAGGAACGTCCTCTCGCTCGGCCCTCTCACCCGCCGTGTCTCCACTGAGAGCGGAGTACGAGGAAGGTTCCTGTAAAGTTACGGGCTCTGGATGTTACGTAATCTTTGCGCGACCATTTCGACCAGGGCGACGTAGAGACGCCGTTAGCCGATAGCGGTGTCTGTAATAACTCACTAAATGGCCATGAAAAAAATATTTTTTCCAGCGGATGTCTTAGTTACAAAATGATTGAGCTAACTGGAGTAGATTCATGTCGTATCCGACAACGGGAGGCTTTTAACAGATGACATCCTGATGTTAGCTTTGCTGCTGCTGTTAGCTGTCCCTGTCAGCAGATGCTTTCTAGACATCGTGATTTCCCAAAACTGAATACATACCACACATAGCAACACAAAACTGCTTTGCTAGCTCAATCATGTTGTAACTAAGATATCCGCTGGAAAAAATACTTTTTTCACGGACCATTTAGTGAGTTTTTTTTAGATGGCGGCGGAAGCTATATGAACGAGCTAACCCTCGTCTGCTGAGTTTTAAAAATGCCGGCTATTTTGTTGCTTTCTGTTGTCGTCACATCCCTCCTTGAGTATATCCAATCAGCACCAAGTAATCCCCAAGCCCCAGCCAGGAGTCTTTCGGGGCCGTTCTGAGTACCTACCCCGAGGCAGGGACTTGTTTAGCCCCTGTAAAAGTTCTGGAACTCTGTCCTTCAGGGGTGGTTCCTGCAGTGGAGACACGCACCAGCGGCCCCGGCCCCATAAAATTACCCCGAAGTTCCTGCGGTGGAAACGGGCCTATAGCACATACCAGTGTGCATCTCTCCACGCACACTCACAACACAGCTCTGCCTCACTTGTTCACTCACAAGTTCTCCAGCAGAACAATAAAACATTTACAGATGATAATACTACTGGTATGTCAATTATTAAAGAAGTAATTGACTGTGTCCTCAAACCATTTACTTCTATGTGTAATAAATCCTTTCTCTCAGGTACTTTTACTGATAAAATTAAAGTGATTACAATCTATTAAATAACCAAAAGCATATGATATTAAAATATAGACCTGTGTCACTGCTACCTAAATTTTCTGAAATACTTGAAAAACTATTTGTAAACAGACTGGATGGCTTTATTGAGAAAAAGAGTTACTGAGTGACCATCAATATGGGTTTAGGAGTAATCGATTTACATCTTTAGCAGTGGACTTTGAAGAAAACATAGCAACAGCAGTAGATTTAAAAACAGCACACTGTAGGCATATTTACTGATTTACATAACGCATTTGACACAATTGATTATTCTCGCCTTCTTTAGAAATGTGAATGCTATGGTATAAATGGTGTCACACAACTTTGGTTAAGAAGTTATTTAAATAACAGGTATCAGTTTACAAAAATCAATAATACTGAATCACATCTTAGAGAGTAACCTGCAGTGTTCCACAAGGTTAGATGTTGGGAAGTATTTATACCTTATTTAAATTATATTTTTTATCATCATCATGACCATGATCATGTTGAAAAACAGTTTGCTGTTACTAAGTTATCACTAATTAGAATAAAACAAAATTTATGGTGTTTGGTGGCATTAGGGCTAATTGTGAAATAAAACTGAACTTAAATTGTGTTGAAATTTTGGGGAGTGATCATAGGTCATTAACTATATTGGAAGCCACACATAGAACATATTAAATGCATAAATTATTTGTCATATTAAAGACAAGGGAGTTTTTGTTGTTAAATACGAAATGTTTGTATATATTGTATTGTTTACTTGTAATGCCATACATGTCCTACTGTGCTGAAATTTGGGGAAATGCATACAAAACAAATATAGATCCTATAATTAAACTTCAGAATAGATCTCTCAGAATAATACATAAAGCAGGTTATCAGGAATCTACTAATCAACAATTTATAGCATCCAACACCTTCTAATTTCCAGACATTGTGTATTAAAAAACACTGGAGATACTTTTTCAGTTGTCAACAGAAACCTTCCTGTCTGTATTCGTTTTCTTTTAATTAAGAGAAGGAATTTATGATTTTAGAGAGTTAATCATTTAGAACCAACATAAAATACATACAGGAATATATATTCAGGCCGAGCGTCCTGTCTGTCTTCCCAAACGTGGAGGCCTCCCACTGATGTAAGTGTATTTCATAAAATTGGTATCAAAGAAAGTATCATTCCAGAGCCGTTATTTAAGTATCTGAACTATACTCCCTACAGATAACTTGTATTGGTGATTTGAGCTTATCTTATTTTCAGATAGCCTTGTCAAATTTATGAACATGCACTTTTTGATGTGGTTTCAAGTCTGTTAGGAAATTTGTGATGCATTTCCTGTTAAAAAAAAAACGCATGTCAGATACTCTCGGTGGCTTCTTTACACACTGCTTTCTTTACCCCTTTCCATCGATTTAAATTTCAATTTAACCCAATCTCTGAACATATGCTAAAAGAGACGTGTGGGGGTCGACCCTCTCAGTACCAAACTGAATGTACCATGAATGTCGGTGAGAGCAGAGGAGGCCTGCGCCGCGCGGCTGTTTCTTTTCAGCGGGACATCCCACTGAATGAGAAAAGCGGCAGAGGAGTGGAGCGTCTCTTGGGCTGCTCCACACGGGAGGGAAGCACCAGGCTATTGTTCCAATGAGAACAAAGATGAATGCATAAGTAATGAGGGCCCGGTCTCACTACGCCACCCAAGACCGCTTCATTATAAAGTAAGGGCTTCGTACGTTTATTTGTTTACCGCTCTATTACAGAATGGGCTACCAGCTAAATGAAGCGCTAACGCTGTAGCAGCGTCAGCTCCCCGACTGCGGCGCAGGTCAGAAGTGATGCCCTCTGGCCAACGTTAGCTAATTCACGAGCTGAAACATAACATAACATAACCCGTGTCTCTTAGAACACCCAGAATTTTCTGAATTACTAATATAGCTGTGACAAAATAAACGTAGTGAAACATCAAAGGAAAGGATGTTGGATACGAGCTGTTTGGATGTTACGTTAGGCTAACGTTACAATATCGCATCACTGCTGAACCAGAGCTAGTGGCATTGTTTAACTAGCGGTTCACTGTTAGCATTAAACTACACACAACTTAGCTGCCCTGCTTGCTGATGGGACGAAGTCTGCTACGGTGTTCATGTGGCGTTCTATTTTCTTCAAGCTCCCCAACGCGGTGAACTCGTGTGGGAGACCCCGTAACATCGGAGTTTTAACGGCTCCCTCGTGATAAGTAGGGGAAGGCGACATGGGCTTCCAAGATTAGTTAGCTTCTTGCAGGCTGCTAATGGTAGGATTAGCAATATAGGCATTAGCACTGCATAGCATTAGCATTGGCTGTTAAGACAGGCCGAACATCCGAGGAGCAGCTGCAGAAAGGTCAACTCACCATTGGAGAGATTGATAAGGGCAGCATCTTGCGTGGTTTTGACTTCTAGCCGCAGGGGCTGCTGCTCTGAATGTCGCTGTATGTCTCCGTTCGCGTCTCCGATGGAGAGGAGCCGCACGCCGGGGAACACCGAGACCGCCATCTTCGATATGGAAGTAGAGACAGGTCAGTAGCGCTCACATCCAACCACGCACTGCTCTCTGCTGGAGACAGCTTGGGCATCAACGTCACAAGTCCCTCCAACAGCGCCACCGTGCGTCTTAAAGTGGGCGTTGTGTAAATACAGAGTGGCATGATGTGTATATGACTTCATACAATCCAGTAGCTCTTAAACATTTTTATTCATTTACATTCAAGTTTTTAATATAATCTCTGTGTTCATGAAAACATGGAAATAATCAGAAAATTTGAGGATTCATAAAAATGTAAAAACAAAAGTGAGCTGATATGGGCTGATATTATCATTTATAATGAAGAAAATAGTGTTACCTTCAAAGTATCTTGGCCTGTAGTCTCAGACTTTTTTGTAGATGGATAGATAGATAGATAGATAGATAGATAATGATGTGATGTGGTGCTAATTTTTTTAATTTAATTTTCACAAACAGGACCTATACATGCACTAAGTGGAGAGATGTCAGAGTGGGGCTGCCCATGACAGGCACTCAGAGCGGTTGGGGGTTCGGTGCCTTGCTCAAGGGTGCCTCGGCAGTGCCCAGGAGGTGAACTGGCACCTCTCCAGCTACCAGTCCACACTCTATATGTGCATAGCATATCACTGAGCGCGTTTACATGCACACTAATAAACCGATCATTATCTGATTTCTGGAGTTACCTGATTATTCAAGTGGTCATGTAAACAGCATAATCCGATAGGCTTTATCAGATAAAAGCCATTATCTGATTATGAGAAATCAGATAAACACATCTAGCTTTTTCCCCAATAGTCAGATTATTCGGTGCATGTATACCCTTT